AAAAAAAAAAAAAAAAAAAATGGATGTGAAATAAATGCAATTTGCGAAACGCCCAAGAGTATAAAAATTCCAGATATCCGAATAATTTACATAAGGTACAGAAAATTTGTTCCCGAATTTAGTTCTTTATTGTTTTCGCAGAGTACTCGACGTGGAAAGGTGGCATCAAGAAGCTGGTCCTTACAACGTCATCCTCTGTTTGAATCTCCTCGATCGTTGTGACCGTCCAAACACTCTACTGAGGCTACTGAGGACCTCATTGGCTCCCGGTGGTAGACTAGTCGTCGCCTTAGTGCTACCGTTCAGCCCTTATGTCGAAGTCGGCGAAAGAAATAATCATAAACCGTCGGAGTACCTACCAGTGCGAGGAAACGGGCTTGAAATTCAAATAGCCAGTCTGATCGACCGGGTCTTCGCTCCGGTGGGACTGCGATGCCTTGTCTGGAGCAAACTACCGTACCTTTGCGAAGGTGATCTAGGGCAGTCGTACTACTTCCTGGACGACGTAATCTTCGTACTGGAGGCGCAACCAGTTAATACGCGATCCTGCGAGTTCACGATAAACGACAATGTCTCGCTGAAGAGAAATTTTTAAGACTTCGAAGCCAAACGGGCTGTGCTTAATGTATTTATAAAAATAACTAATGGGGGCCAGAGAGAAAGAGAAATAAAATGATACCAGGCGTGTCTTTCACACTTGTAAAAACTTTAATAATTGCTGTCATGAGTTAGAATTATGCGAGAATACAGAAGAGCAATACTGGCAAGCGACGACGAGCTTAATGTGCAGACACAGCGGTTAGCGTTTGGTGTACGAATATCGATTAGCGATCCGAGTTAAAAAGGGAACGACGGATCGACAACGGTGCGCATTTTACAATCATTTATCATCTTACTGTCGAATTCGGTGCGAAAACATGTACACGGTCTCTATGGTATAGATATATGGCGCGAGAGTAACGAGATTCGGAAACGAAATCTGTACTTATCCTTTCTCTGTCCTTTCCTAATGTGCTCGACTTCGTTCGAGAGAACGCACATACTTTTAGAATCAAATCTTATCTTGCTCTAATTATCTAAACTAGTAGAAATTAACGGACGGCAAAGGAGAATATTAAACTAACGCACATTACAGCAACAGTTGCAGCCATTGCAATAATAAAACTGCAAAACGAATAATGGGAAACAAAACATTTTTAAACTTTGACGATAATTAACCTACAACATAAAATATATATAACAACGTTATCGTTAATAATAAAATACGATTGTATATGATAGCGAATGTAAAGCGGAGAACAAAGAAATTTACTGCAGCGCTGCGACTTTTGCTTAAAAAAAAAAATAAATAAACGCACAAACTCCTCACATCGTCGAACAATTGCGCTATCGTGTTTAAATCATTGATAAGGTAAGATTTATCTCAGAGAGTCTCTAATTATATATTTCGAATTTCTATTTTAATATATTCGATCAATTCTCTTTCTCGTCAGATTCTGTTTCCGCGCTCCCTTTTCTCTATTTGGCATAAATTGCAACGACTTAGTCATGGATATGCTTAAAATTGCGTTGATCACACGGACCGACCGATCGAGATACAAACGACGTTACGTTTGCATTTTTTAATAATACGTAATATTTTATAAGAAATAAGTCCACCTAATTATTGGAAATACACTTTGATGTGCAACAAGTTATCGTCGAATTATGAACCATATTACAGCAGCCTTCTTGTTAATGTATATATGGGGCATTTCATGCCAAATTGAATGGTCTTTGTCACCAATCCCTGCCAATCTTTTCACTTTTTTAATGTGTTCCTTGGATTAAAATATGTATACAATTATTTTTTTAAATTTTTATTTCTATTTCCGAACTATGAATTTATTAATATTTTCAATTTATTTAATTTCACAAATGTTTAGTTGAATATAACTTCTGTTTAAATTACTGTGTTTTTTTTTTAGGAATAATGCAATGAATTTTATTAATTTCGACCACTTCGGATACTGAACGGGTATGAACGATTGTATCAGGGTGCGTTTAGTATCCGAAGTGTTCGAAATGAATAAAATTCATTGCATTATTCCTAAAAAAAATGGTATGTTTATTGTAAAAATTTCTCTCATATTATAATCTCTCATAATATTTTCTCAAACTCTTCTCAAACTATAAAGGACGAGAAAAAAAACTAAAAAATATAAATAAAAAAATGATCCAACGTTTATTAATAAATATCTTCACATATTCTAAAAGACATTATTATTCAAATAATTCCTATAAATCCTCATTCCCTAAATAATTGTGAAATCAAAAATATTCTCCAGTATCGTTATAAAATAACATGATTTATGTAACTCATCAACAACAGATTAAAAATTTTCGAACATTAAATAATAGATTTAATATTTTGAAAAATTAAAAAAAAATGGAACAGAAATTATGACCATAATTAAATACGGTTTGAAATATTTGTATTTGTACTGAGATTATTGGAGAATTTTTTTATAAAAATTAAAAATGTCGACAAAAATCGACTTTTTTTCTTCAGTCAGATTTTCCAAATATAAAAAAATTTGAAGATTCTTTTCATACTTTTTTCCTAATACAGAATTTCAACAAACAATTTGATGTGGTTATTTTCTATTTTGTAGTAATTTAAACAGAAGTTATATTCAATTAAACATTTGCGAAATTAAATAAATTGAAAATATTAATAAATTCATATTTTGGAAACTAACAGAGATCAAAATCTAAAAAAATAATTGTATATGTATTTTAAAAATACATTAAAAAATTAGTAAAAAGATCGGCAGGGGTTGGTGACGAAGATCGTCTGATTTGACGTGGAATGCCCTATATACAGATACACATACACGCACATATATATGTATATGTATATGTATATATAATATTATATATGTATGTCAACAAAAACGCAGTCTATGGAAGCCGGATCAACATTCGTTTAAACAGCTATAATAGCCATGAAAAACAAATAAAGAATCACTGTTAAAAATTATTCTCCAGTCTTGTTAATTGTCATCGTATCACTTTCATCATCATATCATTTTCGAACACAATAGAATGTAAAGTGAAAGAAGAAGAATACGATATAGAAAGGAAAAGAAAACGATATAAAAGAGTAATAATTTATTACAAAAAAAAAAAACAAAGAAAACAGAACGAAAGAAAATAATAATTAGCACAATCTTTCAAATCACGGATCCGACTCCTAAATGGTAATCGATCGGCACATTCGCTGCATATGTGTAGTAAATAATAACAGATACATATATAGAAAGATATTTTCAACATGCACGCATCCATATAAAATTTTGCTATTTGATAGCCAAAACTTCGCATTTCGCATTCTTGCAGATACATGTACACACATCCCACAAAACAGAGCCCACACATTCAAGTGCTGTGCACTATTTTGCATTCGCGATATTACACGGCATTTATCGCTTACATCCAGACGAACGCTCTGTAACTTTATATTATTGAGAAAGAAGGAAACATTTTATCATATCGCTTATATGCATATATAACAACCAAGTAGGAAACAATTTTACTCCTGCAACTGATTCGATATGCCGTTTATTCAAGAAAGCGTTCGATCGATATCACAATCGCGATCCTCTAATTTGCAGTTTTCTCTTGCAAGAGCAAAAACGTTTCTGCGTAATAATACTTAGTGCACGATGAAATCTTTGAGCGTCAGTGTGAATCACACCCCCTTAAGAATCCTCTAATGACATAACAATTTCGTTCTTTTTCCTTTTCTACGTATATATTAAGAAATAATTTTTTTTTTTTTTTCAAAAAATACCTATATGAATTGACCAATGATTTTTTTCACGTGCACACCGCATATACTGCCTATGGGAGCTTATTACAAATCTTTCAACATTTGTAACACCAAATGCTTGTTCAACGAATAGTACTAGAAATAACAATGATATATGTTCATTTTATATTCTTAAAAATAAGTAATAACGTATACATATAAATCTTTTTAAAAGAAGATATGCATACATATATTATAACATACAATTTATATACATACATGTGTATACGTATGCATATAAATCGTGCACATATACATTGTAAATTGAACACAATTATTTCGCTAATCGAATAACTCGTTTCCACATGTTAATTCAAAGTTCTATATTAAAGAATATATTATATTTAACAAACGAGTTAAAAACATGTGAAAAAAAGCAACACGAGTTTAATAATCGGAAATTTTATTTTTTCTTTATACGGTTATGTCGCGAATGTTGAATAATAATCGATTAGTAACAAAAGCTTTTGTACCAAATCAATTTAGTCTTTGCTTCTCATATTGACATAAGTTTTACATGCCTACATAACAGTTTTGTACATATAAAAGAAGCCTTATCTATTAATTAGATAATAATTATTGGAACACAAACGGTAAATTATTAAATCAATATAGTAAATATAAAGGCTATTCGCACCGAATATTTATTATTTATGTAATTTACGTAATTATAACTCAGTCGCTAGGCTTTCGGTAATCATGCGAGATTAATCGAGATTATTTGTTGAATAAGCCCCATAGGCAGATTGAGAGCAATGACAATACGAAATCAGGTTACAGCGATAAAATAAAGCTAGTAAGAAATCCTTAAAATGACGCGGTGTGTAAGTTTAGTCCTACATATAAATCTTTTTTGTTTCTCGCTACCCACGTTTATCACAGTCCACGCATGACTCATTTTGTCTCTTAGTATTTGAAGTCCTAAACGCCAACAACTTTTTTGAGCAATCCATCGGGTTGTTTAGATACGAAACACCCAGCTAATTAATAAACATCTTGTGACTAGAACATCATAGAGCGCAAAAAGACGAAACTTGGTCTGTCGCGAGTAAAGCGAAGACGACGGTTAGTCTAACTTACGCTGCTCGCATAATTCTTCCATCCCGCTAGCTTTTCTGTTAAAAAAAAAATAAAAGAAAAAAAAATATATAATAATAGAAATATACTTTTGAGGCTTTCACGGGTGTCTTCTTCAGAGGTACTAAAGGAATTGCGGGTTATTGCTGTGTCGTGATCCATTGCCAATCAGTATCAGTGCCGTTTCTCGCCTTGATGAAGTGAATGACAAAATTGACGAACAATTGGTATTAACAATGGATCACGACACGACAATAATCCGCAAACCCTTTGGCATCTCTGAATAATAAAAAATAATATTAACAATAAAGTTAATGATAATAGTTGCAGTTAAATAAAATTACTCACAACGTTGACAGGTAAGGGGTACCGGTGTGATCTAATCGGTGTTTATCTTCGTTTTTCCAGCTCGAAACTGGTATATGTGGAGGCGGCAAAAAGCTTCTCAACGACTGTACAAGCTGTATGGTATCGACCAATGCTGTAATTGACAATAAGCAATATAAAAATCTCTGTATATATTACTTTAGGAAGAAACTTTGATATGAAATTTCACAGCGCAACAAATTTACGTAGAAAGAAAAAGAAAAGAGAAATCGAAAAACAGTTGATAAAATTAAGAATCATTACTTTTTTGCAGAGCCTCGGATTGTTTGCCGTACGGCTTGCACATTGCCGGTCGTACGCAAGCTTTCATCCTTGCCATGTTTTTCATCACTTCTGCGAAAGCGCGCACAATCTTCTCTTGACCACCTGAGACAGTAGAATAAATTCATTAATGTGATTTTAATGTTTAGTCCTTTTATTACGATTGTCTTTATTGCGAAACGTATTATGACACAACTGTGTATGAGTCGCATACATATTTAAAAGTGATTATATTGTTATTCTTTATGATAAAAGCGTCTAGCTAAAGTAAATGAATCTTTTCAAATGCTGTAACGTATACATTATCCCAAAATGTGAGCGTCAAGTAATTATAGTCGCCCTTAGTATATATCATTTAGTGACAACTATAATCACCCGTAATAACGAAAGATTTGAAACATGCTTGAAAAGCGTATATCATGTCGCGTATATACTACGAGTTCTTCACCTTCTGAATTTGAAGACGATGATCGGGATCCTTTTTCACTTTCTAAAGGCCATGCGCCGTTGTGTAGCGCTAATAAGTCCTTATTGGCGTTTCCTAATCCTTGTAAGTTTCCTAAACCGAGAGAAGTGAGATTGTCCAAGTTATCCAGATTGGTACGTAAAAAGTCCGTCAACTTGTGATCGGAGATTGGTATATTAGGTATTAGAGATTCATAATGCTGCTTGCCGGATGGCACTTTCTTCTCTTGCGATACAGGCCGATGCGGAATATTTAATGACGGACGGCTTGGGGGACGTTGAAGATTCATTTGGTTGCCAGCACTCCTCATCTCCGATAAATCCGCCGCGGATCCTCCTCCCATATGTGTATTCGGATTAGCGCTGCTTAGGCTCTGTAAAGAGATAAACATCAAGTATATAGTAAAATGTTAAATTAAAAAATTTTTTAACAGAGTAGTGATGATTGAGAGTTTGCGTATTAAACAATACATACAATTTTTTAAATCAATATAATCATAAGCTTGTTATAATAGTAATATAGTATAAAATATGCACGCGCGCGCGTACGCGTATATGTATGTGTAAGAAACTTGTGTATATAACAACAAAAAGTATATAAAAAATTGATTCACTACCTGGAAATCTGTGCTATGTGGAAAACCGGTACGTAAAAGAGACGCAGTCGCTTCATTCTCTTGAATATAAGTCGGTGCCATGTGACCCATCTTCTGAGTGAGCTCCAGCTGATTTTTGTAGTAACGACAAGCAGGATTAGGACAGTTTTGTATGACTTCTATGATAAATTCTTTCTCCATCCCGAAGCATTCTCTTCCAATGGTGTAAGATTCCATGACTGCTCTAACTGTACCCTCTAATCCCAAGTGTAAGCCATGCGGCCCATTCATGTGTTTCAACATTACGGCATTGGCAAAGTGTTCATAGGGTAGTATTATTTTGCCATTCTCTCTAAGGACTAGTCTTCCCTGTGAATCCAGTGCAACTCTAGAAGCCATCATCCTGAAAACGAATCAAATGCAGTAATATATATGTTACATGACAAATAAGTTGTGTTTGATTATAAAACTATGTTATCCTCACTGTAAATAGGCGGCGCTAGGCATCATAGAGGCATCCTTAAATTCCGAGAAGCATTGTAGTAGCTCGATACTAGGATTCCAGCCTTTATTTTGTAAATACGCTTGCAACAACATGTACATCTTCTCTGTGACGTAACCAGCGCTGCTTGGTGTCGCGGAGTAACCCGATCCTCCACCCGGTGGACCCATTTCGGTTTGCATACCTTTGGCAACAATGTTCTTCATAGTTTCTGCCAGGTCCATTCTACATGTATATAATTGTATACATGAATTTTCCAACACAGGGCGTGTGTTTTTTAATTCATCGTTTGATCAAACGCATTGTGCACAAATATAATTTTGTTCTGTAAAAGCTGCATTTGATTGCGCATGTGATTAATTGATGAATTAAAAAATAAGCCCATAATGAATATTCACCAATTTGTGAATAAAATCTCTATATCCATATCTGATACACAGTCATTAGCTGCATTCAGCAGAACTTTTATTTTGCAAATGTTGTAAGTTTTCTTCGCGCTAATTGTACTTTTAGATTTAAAGAAATGGCCCTATCTCTGCAGACAATCATAAAACAGTTGCGAAATTGTTGTGTTCTGCTGAATACAGCCATTGGTTGCTGTCAAACAATAAGAGACTAAATTATACAATAGACCTGCTCTTTTTACATAGTTGAACTTCTTACACATTCCTTTTCTTCTCTAATACGAGGAAAAAGGTCGAAAGATGTGCAAGAAATTCAGCTGAAAAAAAAAAACAAGGTACAATGTAACACAGTGAATCATCTATTGTTGTTTGCCAATTTTAAACAAAGATGAGATGATTCACTGTGATATACGTATTGTTTCTTGCTGAAAAACCCATGTAGTTGTATACTCTATTATATATAGATACAAAGGATTATTTGTCGACTGTTTATACCATATACATACTGGAAACGAAAAAAAACATATAAATAAAAGTCAATCGTCAACAATCGATACGAGTCACGATAATTTCATTCATCCGTTATCGCGGCTCCAAGAAGAGTCGCCGAGGTTTGACCGGTCGAGAACGTTAACAAACGCGTGATCGAGAATACGAGGATTTCCGTCACGCGTCGATCACGCCTCATTGCACGGAGTCGTCCGTTCAGCTCCGTCATCATCGAGCGCACGACAGTAGCCTGCGACGAGAAACGAGAGTGGACGGCGCTTCGGACGAGCCGCATCCGTCGGTACCGTCGGCACGCTCGTCGTCGGGTCGTCCCGAGCGGCACCGAGCGCGCTCGCGGTCCTCGGTACCGGCCATTATTATCGCCAAGGCGGGCCGGCGAAACCGATAAAAAAAGTGGCCGGCCGCGTGCGATCGAGCGAGCGGGCGAGCCACCGCCCCCCTTTTCGACACGCGCAGGGGGGACTCGACCCGCCGTGAATGCACGGAACGTACATTATTCTCGAACGTGCACTCACCCCGTGCTGCGGCCGCCGCTGCTCCACTCCACTTACGGCGTAGCCGGGTAGTCCCCAGGAGCCCGTCCGTCGCCGTGTCTCAGTCGCTGCCACTCGGCATCGCCTAATTAATTAAACCCCCGGATCACATTTGCAAATAACATAAATCGCGATAATTATTTCCGCGAGGGTCACTTGCACGGTCCGCCGCCAGGGGCGCACCGCGCTCTACGCGCTTTTCGTCCTGTGTGTGTGTGTGTGTTCGTGTGTGCGTCGCGCGGGGTTACATGTAGATAATAATAGACAATAGAGGATGAGTGTTCTCCATTTAGTGACACGAATCGACCCAAGCGTCTTTCTATCATTGTTACTCTCTGAATGTCATGAAAGATAGAATGGTGTTTGTGTCGACTTGGATCATTAAATGGAATTAAAGTATGTACATTTACCCACGTATGTAATATTATTACGGATGTATATACATGTATACGTGGGTGCGGAGCGCCCGCGTATACGTGTGTACACGGATGGCCCGGCTGCGCTTACGCGACGCCACTTTGCGCATTTATCAATATTACTTTTTGCAATTGATACATTACGGCACGCCGCGGCGCGGCGCGTCGCGGCACATCGCGATGCCGACGCATGTTAAGAATGATCCGAGAGAGAGCATTCCAAGTGATATCTTTGTTCTTTTCTAACCTACATCAGGTGTAATTGCACATGTGCAGTAGACGGTACTGCACATGCGCAGTCATAATTAAGTACCTGTAATTGGTAAGACTGAGGGATCTTATATTTGAAATACTTTTATTTAAAATACAGTATTTGCAATGCAAGTGTATTTGAGATATTTTTGTTTAAAACCAGTAATCGTAAGACAATTGTATTTGATATTTCGGCGAAGCACATGAAAGTATTATGTATTTTGTATTTAAAATCGAAAGATTTTGTAAGTTTTTTGTATTTTGTTACTCAAATGATATAAGATTGATTGTCAATCTAGTATTTAAATTACAAAGTGTAAAATATTTTCATGTGCTCTGCTGCAAAACAGAATACAAAATACAATTGTCTTACAATTATTTGTTTTCCAAATAAAAGTATTTCAAATATATGCCCAGTCCTAAATATAGATTAAAAAAAGGATAAAAATATACTTTTGCGTAATGCATAAAGATAATGTATAATATAAAAGAATCAACTAATCAAAATTCTCTTTGAAATGGGTGGAAGGGAAAAATTTTGATTGATTGATTTGCTTCGTGCATGTACTATTTACCCCGGATCTACGTAAGAAATTAATTACAGTCGAATTTAAGAAGAACAATCGACTATGATTTCGACGTCCATTTCTTATGGCTTAAGGCTTAAAACTCTATTGTAGATCCGGACTTTTGGGTTTAAATCTTAAGCCGCAGCATACACTTTTGCATGGCGCATAAAGGTGCAACCGTCAAGCAGCAGCCAATCAGCGAGGTAATATGGCCAATGGCGAAGATAATATTTTTTTACGCCACTGCTCATGTCGCCTCGCTGATTGGTTGCTGTTTGATACTTGATGGTGTGAATGTATCTAATGTTAGATTCACACTGGACGCAGCAAGCGTCAAGCAACGGAGCAGCAACCAATCAGCGTGGCGATATTTATAGTGGCGTAAAAAATATCGTCACGCTGGTTGGTTGCTGCTCCGCTGCTTGACGCTTGCTGCGTCCAGTGTGAATCCAGCATTAAGCAAATTGATCAATCACAATCGAGTATTCCCTTCTTATTTGACTATATAAGAGGGGAATACTCGACTGTGATTAGTCAATTCTTACAGATTATACGGCATACCCGTACGGCCAATTAAAACTTGTAAACTGTTGTGTTCTGTTAAAGCAACCAAATGATTATGTTTACACGACGTCTAACGTCAGTAGTTATAACATAAGCCCGGATCTACAATAGAGTTTTAAGCCTTAAGCCATAAGGAATGGACGAATCATAGTCGATTATTCTCCTCGAATTTGACTGTAATTGGTTAATTTCTTACAGTTCAGGGTTTAAAACACGTATTGTAGATCCGGGGTTTATGGAATGTTATACCTTCAGCATAAATCAAGCTGTGTAAACGTAGTTAATCTTGTGTTCGGCGACGGTAGATAGTGAACGTCAGTGAACGTGTTGGATGCTTCGAATTTGAATCAGCACGTGTGGGAGAACTGGGAGAAACGGGGAAAACGCGCACTGATGCCAACGATGCGCCTACGCGAGGGCGAACCGCGAAGTTCCCAAATAGTATAAACATGGCCTCGCGGTACAGTCACGGTGTTCAACGGGTTCTGGCAAAATTAGAGGCCTCGTTAAGCTCAGAGAACTATTATGAGGCCCACCAGATGTACCGAACTTTATATTTTAGGTGAGAATCGGTCGGATCGGCCGCCTCGTACCGTCGAGGTGTTCCTCCGTACGCTTAAAAAATTCTGCTCGTCTCTAACCTCCTCCGTTTGCAGATACCTCGGTCAGAGAAAATACTCGGAGCTCCTGGAATTGCTCTACAGCGGATCGATCCGTTTGTTACAGCGCGAACAGGTACGCATTGAGTTGATCTTTCGCGCCCCCATAAGTATCGAAGGATTTTCACGGTTTTCCTTAAAGTGATTTCCATAATTTTGTCGACGAAACTGAATGCCTTTGCAGTCGCGCAAAAGATGCGCGGATATAGCTGGTTATGAGGGAAGCAAGGATCAACTTTCTTTACAGCACTTGCGACTTGTATGTTTCTTGCAGCATGCAAGTGGAGCCGACTTAGGAATTCTATTTGTCAATGTTTTAACACAATCTGGAACGGTACCTGCGCAAGGCTTCTTCGAGAAAATCATGAGCATGTTTAATTTGATGAGCCCTATGTCTCCAGAAAGAGAAGTGTTTATGCAGTCAGCGCTCAAGTGGAGTATAAAGGGTACAGATTACAAAACTGGCCATCCAGATTTACACCAAAAGATAGCTCAAATTTTTTGGAGAGGTAATCTTGTGAGGAGTTTTACTATATATTTATTTTTAGTATACTGTACTTAATAGATCAATTTTTCCATCAGAAAAGAATTATATAATGGCAAGACAGCATTTTATATACAGTAGAGATGGTTCCGGATGTGCCGCAATGTTAGTCGAACTTCATGAACAACGTGGATACATGAATGAAATAGATCTTTTCATAACTCAAGCAGTTTTACAGTAAGCTAATTGTCCTTATGTCGATTTTAAGGATAGGCAATGTTTTATTGCCATGATTTTTTAAGCTTATTACAAAAATTGCTAAAAGGCAAGGTTCTATAATATTTTGCTCTCAAAAATATTACAATAAAGAATAGACGGGCATAACAATATAATGGAGTGTAGAATAATCTTGAAACTATATAAAATAATACGTATATGAAATTATCAACTTTGTTTTAGGTATCTCTGTTTACAAAATAAAGCAACGGCACAAGAGGCCTTTAATTCTTACACCTCAAGGCATCCAAAAATAAATAGCGGCCCGCCATATCTTCTTCCTTTATTAAATTTCTTATTTTTCCTATTTAAAACCATCGACAGGTACGATATACTTTATAATGAGAAATACATATCTGATTATATAAGTGTAGCTTTCACTTTTCTTTGATTAATTATTTTACAGTGGTAAACTAGCGGTGTTCACAGTTCTCTGTGAACAATATCAGATATCTTTAAACAGAGATCCATGTTATCAACAGTACTTAGATAAAATAGGTCAACTTTTTTTCAATATCCCACCTCCACGTCCACGTAATCAAGGATTATTTGGTTCGTTATTGCAATCCTTCTTCAATGGTTTAGAGGATGACGATTTGGATGATGAGCAACGAAATGCAGCTTCAACGTCGCACGCCATACAAGAACTTGATTGATTAAAGGTGAGACAACACTGTGCAGTGTGATGCTGAATACTGAACTTTTATATATTATTCTTCGACCCAAATACTTTCACTAACTGCACCTGTGTTAACCAACAATTTCATATTGTGGACATTATATATACAAAACAAAAAAAGCTGAAGGAATTATTGTTATTTGAAAAAATAGTAATATGAAATGTAGAACTTTGAGAGTACGTGGGACGACTTCTTATGGGAATTTATCAAAGTTGTAAGTTATGTACACTGAATTCACAATAGTAGAATTCAGATAGGCATCTTGGTTATTTTATACATATCTAATACTTTCTATAACTCTTTTTAGCCAAATGGATTTATGTATGTGCAATAATGAAGTGTATGGTTTTGAATAAAAGTCTACAAATTGAATAATTCTTCAAACATATAATTATCTGTATATAAAAATTTGAAAGGATATGAGTCAACTTTATGAAAAGTTTTTATTCTGTGTACACTGTTATGAATTCAGCAATTATACTTAGACTTTGAATAAAATCCTTGCCATTAATTACGACCTGTGCATATAATCACCGTGCGTATAATCACATGAACCCTATATACCTGCGTGTAACTGCTGAATTGAAAATTTATTTTATATAAATTAAAATGCGTGTGGACAAATAAATGTGACATAATTGTAGCTTCCAAAAAAATAATGCTTACCGAGATTGCTTGTTGTTGAGGCATCGAGAAAAAAAATTATTACTCGACAACAAGCGATATATTTATTTATTGAATTCTATACTGATATGGGTAATCGTTCGTAAAATATACTTGAAAAAAATTAATGCATATATTCATAAGTAAGGAAATAAAACGACCATCATAAATCTTAATAAATAAAAGTCTTTACAGCATTAATAAATAAAGGTAATATAACGTTTTTTTTTGCTGTGTATTAAATTAAAAATAGACGGTATTGAATTAATAATTTAGCTTTGTAACAAATGTATCTTTAGAAACACATGTAAGTATATCGAGTATTCTTCATTATATTTTATTGTCTATTACATTATCAAAATTGTTTAAAGTAAAATTTAATATATGTGATAATGATAAATCATTATAATTGACATATTCGTGTTATAATTGAAAAAGTCTACATTTTTAAATTAATCTGTAAAAATTATTGTATATTAATTTGATGGTGATCAGTAGATAGTATCAATTGTATATTTAATACTAATACTTTGAAATGTATACCATATCGTTTTAAAACTGAATATTCTATATGAATATTACGACAGTCAGATCATGCATGAGATTAGTTTTTTTTGAAGAATTAATTTAAATATTATATTTGTATAAATCATTTGAAAAATATAATAACAAAATAACGATTACCCAATATATTATTCTAACAACTCCTTTGTGTATCCAATAGAAATATTTAATTTAATAGTTGTATGTGAATTATGTGAAATGCGCGAACATACCAGTCATCATGTTCCTAATTAAAAATACTATTTCACAATACAATGGATTATCAATACTTTACAACATTAATTAGTTTTAAATTATATCATATAATGTTTTTTTTAGTACAAAATACTTTTCCTTTTCAGTATATTCACACAATAGTTTTATATTGCAAATGCCAAACAAAAAAATTATAAGCTTGCTAAAATTTTTATAGACGTAATCACAATTATGAATTTAACGGTATATATTTATTATAAAGAAATAACAAAATCAATGATTGTAAACAATTATAAATACGTTATAAAATATATATAGCAAAATCAATGAAATAATATTAAGCAAATTAGAAAACATCTAAAATCGATTTTATTTATGTTTATGTTTAATTTTTAATGTTGTGTTGTACAAATAAAGAATGATAAATCTAAGAATGAAATCAGATATATAAAATATACGTGTAGTGCGCGTGTACGTGTATATATGTATGTGAATGTGTATATTCATTCATTTACATTTTATTGAAAAATACTTATATAGCTTTTGTTATAGAAACATTTTATTAAGTAATTCAATATAGGAAAAAAGATATTACAATATTTTCTTGTAAAAAAGGTATGTCGTTTTCCATTTTACGTTAATAAAAATTCGCATATCATATTTGTACATATATAGGGTGACCATTAGAATTGTGTCTAAACTAAATGATATTATTTCTTTGTAACAAGTAGGTCAATCAAAATAAATGCTACAGATACCACTTTGTAGAAGAAACTTGTCAATATCATTTAAGCGTTGTACAAGCTAATTTATGTATATTATCATGATTGCATCAACCATCGAAGGAAAAGTGTTTCTCATTGATTACTTCTACAATAGTAGGCGAAAACTACGCAGAATCATGTCGTAAATTTCGTAATAAATATGGATTCAAAAAAAGTTTTAAGTGGAAGTAAACTTATAAGGGAAACCTTGCAAAAAGTGTGTTAAATTCTGATATTTAAATTAAAAAAATATTAGTTGATATGAGAAAATAGTTTTAGAATAAAATCACTCTTTATAGATAAAGCAATTTTTAGCTTTTTTCATTATATCTGAACTATTCATTATACCTCGAGATATTAAAAAATGTTTTAAAAACTTTTTAATTTATTTGGAATCTTTTCTTTAGATGATTAATGCGTTTATGCTAACACCCGTAAACTAACTTGTACGATAGCTCAAATGAAATTGACAAATTTTTCCTATAAAATAACGTTTTATTTGTTTTGTTCAGTTTGTTGCAAAGTAAATAACCGTTCAGTTTTGTTTTGATACAATAATAATAGTCACCCTGTACATATATTACAAATCCATATTTTGCGCTATTTCGTGAATTATAACATAAAAAAAGGATTGCCTAACATTACATGATGCATTACAGGTTAAAACAAGTGTCATTTGAAAGACTTCGATGAGTAGATCAAAGTTGCGAAGTGTGCCCTTTACGAAGTTATAGGTCACGAAAGTTCAAAGAGACGATCATTCAACATATGCAAATATATTAATGTAATACATCGTTGCAAAGCATTTAATAAGAATTCAATATTATCATATTCAGGTATATAAACTGTATATACATACGTATAGTCTATGTACCTGAATAACGTTAAATATAATAAAAATAAAAAATAAAATCAAGTCTTTCTCAGAGCTTTCAAATATCACGCAAAGATCACTCAGCGATTTTGTGGATATTTGAATCTCGGGCTGGAATCTACCATATCCGAAAAACCAGAGAACTGTCATGTGCACCCTACAAATCCTACAATTATCCGTCCATTTTTGAACTGACAATAGTATCCAACTATTATCTCGATATCAATCTTTTCTTGACTACTAAAAGGATGCATCTAACTTGTATCCATTGAAAACTTTGATCTATTCATCGAGATCTTTCAGATGACACCTGCTTTAACCTACAATACGTTAGATAATTTTCCATAGACTTTTGGCATCCTCCAATGCAAAGTCGAAATATGTAACAATAATTTAAAAGAAATGTATTAATAAATTTTATTGTTCCCCTATGAGGTTACATAGAATGTTTATTACAATATTCGTGCTAGAATTGCGATATAGTCAATATAATATCAATGAAATGTTATGACATTTCATTCTATATATATTAAATTTATATTGTAATTGAGAAACTATTAGAAAAAAAATTGCTAACTAATTCACTTTTCTGCCTACCTGTGCGCGCGCGCGCACGCATACACACACACACACACACACACACACATTCTTTTGTATCCTGTCTAGTCTTATCTAGAAATTTATAAAATAAATAATAGTATAAAATATAATTTTCTTCATAGCCTGAAACATACGATAAATCAATAGAAAATTCTCTAAATTCTTATTTGAGAAACCCTCAAGTAAGAGTAGTTTTGACATTGTTAAAATAGTTTTTCTTAAAATTTATTATTAA